GCCTGAAAATTGTTTCCCCGCTGCAGAGAGATGGGAATTGAAAAGAGCCCATTGCAAGCCAGAGTCCAGGTGCCTCAGCAGAGCTCTGGGGCTTCCTGGGGCCCTGTTCTTGGCCCACGAGTGCTAGACCCTGGCGACCAGGCCCTGAATGTCCAGTGTGGAGTCAAGATCAGCAACACCCCACACCTCTGAGGGAGAACTTAGCCTTTGAGGAAAGCTTTGGTTGAGAACAGGAAGGGAGGGAGGAGGAAAAAAAGAGTGTCGACTGTCACTCATTGAGCACCTATTGTGTGCCAGGGGTAGCCTAGGCATTTTTACATTTTCTCACGATACCTGGAGACGTGGGCGAGGTTATTTTCATGTTACCAGTGAGGAAGCCAGTGCACGGAGAAGTCGTTTCCCTCATCAAAAGTCACACGGCTCAACAGTCGTAGACCTGCTTGCTATTTTAAGAGGCTGTCCAGAAGAGCAAATTAGTGATGTTGTTATGAAGTTAGTCCTAGGTTTGAGTTGATTCCACAGAAAGGTTAAAACAGGATGGTTGCTGCCACAGGGTCTGAGGTGCAAGGAAGCCCATCTCTGGAGTCCTGGGTCTGCCCCTGAACCTGACCTGTGATGTCCCTGCAGGGCAGAGCCACCTGTGTCCCACATGGGCCACCACTTAAAGCAGCCTGCTCCCGTTGCCCCAAAGCGTCTTGGGGAGGCAGAGTCATCTGAGAATCCCACTCGCTTGGGGCTCTGCTTCAGGCTTGCGTTCTCCCAGGCTGTGGAGCCCCTGGTGTCCCAGGGCACCCCCCTATCCTGGGAATAGGCCCCGCACCCAGCCGGAAGCGAGCAGGGGCGTTAAGTGTGGCCCAGCGAATTCCCCGTCTCCTCCTCACCTGGCTGCATGCGGCCAGGACAGCCCCCCCCCACAACTGATGCCTCCTGCACCCCACCGGGCTGCAGAGAGAGCTGCAGAGAGAAAGTTGGTGAAATATTTAGCTAGGTCGGAAAAGGCCTGCGGACTCCACGCAGCTCTGGGGTAGGACGGTGGTCTGCTGTCCTTGCAGAGAGGCGCCCGCCATTTCTGTGGCCCAGTTCCTCTCTCTCGGCTTAGTGCGGCCTTAGCGCCTCTCCTTGGCCCAGCTCCTCGGCACTCGAAACGCTCACGTTGAAAAGCGGAGCCTTGAAGTATGAAAAAAATGGGAGGCAGAGAAGGAGCGGGATGATTATCTGTGGTCTGAGGGTGCGGCCGTGATGGCAGGCTCAGGGAGCCCTGGCTTCCGGGGAAAGGAACCGTGGTTCGTCTTCCTGAACCCTTAGGGCCCACAGAGCCCCTTCCCTGTGCTTAGCTTACTTGGCGCTTCTAGGCGCCGTGTCAAAGAGCGCGTTATCTGTCTTTGCCACCCCGAAGGGTCTCTGGCAAAGATGCGCCCTTTCTGGAATAGACGAGCTCTATTAATTAAGTCAGCGTGTCTCTTATAGCTGAAAAGTTCTTTCTGTCGAATCTGAATCTTTGCTACACCAATTTGACCCCAAGACTTACTGTGTCCTCGTGACTCGTGGAAATGGTGGCAGGTCATCCTGCAGACGCCAGTCACCCAGGGAGGCGGGCGGGAACACGCAACATGAGAACCAGGGGGGCGCTCCTGTGGGACGCCGGTAACTTAGCCAGGTTGCCAGGCTGCCACGCCGGGGACGGGGCGCGCGCAGTCAGATCCTCTCTGGGGTGCGGGCCGCAGTGCTGGGGGAGCTGCCACCGCAAGGACTGTCTTCTTGAATGCCATCGTCCCGGCTCCTTTCACTCCAGGCCTTACTGAACAACGCGTCTGTGGCTGTATCTTTTCTTCTCCTCTTGGACCTCGGCCTGACTCCTAGCATATCTGAGTTTCAAAGCCTCAACCTTAATGAGGTCTCGGCTAATGTCAAGAATTCTTGGCAGTCCTGAGAACCAAAGTCCTCCTCTAGCAATCCCTCAGCATCTCCCCCGTTACACTCACGGTGCTGTGGGCCGAGTTCAGCTTCCGGTCCACCATGACTGTCTCCTCTTCCGTGTGGTTGCATGTAACCCACAGCATTGTAAAACATAAAGGGCACGGCTTAGGAGTAACAAGAACTGAGTACCAAAATGGGACTGGGGAACTTTTTGCTATTGAACTTTGTGAATATTTTATTTATGGGATCTCAGTTCATCTCACCTTTTAACACAGATACTCTGTCTATATAGAACTCTTAAAACTCAATAAGAAAACAAACATTCCAATGAAAAAATGGGCAAAAAACAGATTTGAACAGATACGTCACCAAAGGTGTCTTGGGCGGTAGGTAAGCACCTGAAAAAGATGTTTGAGATTGTTGGTTATTAGGGAAATGTAAATTAAAACTACACATCTGTTAGGATGTCTGAATCAGGACTAACCACACCCCTTGGTGTAAGGATGTGGACCAGCTGACAGGAGGCAGCATCACCAAGGGGCACAAGGAAACTTTTGGAGGCGATTGGTATATGTTCATTATCTTTACGTGGTCATGGTTTCATGGAGGTATACAGATGCCAAAATTTACCAAAGTGTTTACTTTAAATATGTAATTCATAGTGTGTCAAGTATTCATCAAATAGCTGTTAAAAAATAGCCTTTCATAGGTCTTTCCATTCTGTGTTAAAAAAAAAAAAGAAAGAAAAAAAAAGAAAAAAAATAGCCTTTCAGTTCATTGTGCTAGTCAGTTGTATTAATGTTTTTGAAGGTATCACACATACTGTTCGTCCATTTGAGCAGGGCATTTTCTCTGTAAATATTAATGTTGGCACAGTGCTTCACAATCCCTTGAGGCATTCTGCTGGGCTGTGACCAGGCCTGTTCCAGTAACCATAATTTATTAACGGAAGCTTTCTGTGTAGAGGACTCTAGCATGTCTGGGAGGCAGTTTTCAGAGGGAAGGGACCTGCGGGGGACCCGTGTTTTAGCAGCGTGTGCCCGGGGAGGAAAGGAGCTGCATGTGGACTTCCTATCCAGTTTCCGGTGCTGTTGAGGGTCTCGTGCCTGGAAGATTCTGATGCTGCTGTCTTCGAATACCAGCTCTTTCATGCACGCGGGGAGGAATTATATCATCGCACCTCAGGTCGTTGTTTTTGGCAACATCCCGGCCTTTTTCTTGATCTTATCCCACTTCTTTGGGACTTTGTCCTGGCTGCTGCGTGGGTTTGCAGCACACCTTACTCAGTAACACACAGTGTTTTCCCACCTTCAAGTGCTCCCTACAGCATCACCTCTTCCTGGCACCGAGCACTTTGTCGGGAGTCTTGCCCAGTGCTGTCAGTGGAAGCACTTTGGGTCAGTTTGGCTTTGGGCCAGTTGGACCCACCATTTGCTGACGGTGACCTTGGTCCCCGCTTAACCGCTGTGAGTTCGGTGTCCTCATGCACACGGAGGAGTAGTGTCGTCTTCCATAGGGGTGGCCATGAGGACTGACTGAGGCAGTGCAGTCTGCCCTCAGCTGCCCGGTGCTCAGGGGGCTAATTCCTCACCCACACAGCTATACTGTGCCTGACTGAGTCAGGGCACGAGCGGTGGGGAAAAGAGTGTTTGGTGTTGTGTCTACACTGTGACGTGAGGACAGCGTGGAGCCGGCTGGGGACACACTACATCTCTGACGCGAACAAGCAGGAGTGCCAGGGCCGGTTGGTTACCTGGCCTTGCTTTTGCCGACATTTGTCATCAGGGGGGTTGAGCCTGCTCTTCACCATCCCTGGTGTGTCACCCCGAGATTTTGCCAACCCCTGAGCAGAGCAGAATGGCCCCGGGCAGAATGCCAGGAGCCTCCTGCATGGACTGGCCTGTGGGGGTGCTGCTATTTCATTAAGGCCACCAGCCCGAGGCGGCGGAGACGACACATGCGCCCCTGGCTGCGCCGTGCGCTTCGGGCCCAGTCTGGAGTAGGGTGATTAACTGGTATCTCAGGACGCGCAGTGAGAGCTCAAAACATGCGGATTGGTTATGGGGCGTAAATAGACCTTGCTGAGCTCGCCCCGGCCGCCCGTCTCTGCAGGCCCGGGCCCCAGTCCCCGGGGCCGCGGGTGGCAGGCGCGGGGCGCGCGCAGCTTGGAGCTCCTCACCTCCATTGGCCCTGTGTGCCTCCCCTGCGGCGGCAGGACGCGCCCTGCGCCCGCGGGCACCTGCAGCTCGCCGCGCCGCCCGCGGGCCCCGGGAGCGCCCCGTTCCGACACTTTCCCGTCTGGCTCCGCAGTGGAGAGGAAACGCAGACGGCGCATCAGCGTCGGCCCGGCGGGCGGCCGGGCGGGCGGAGGGTCCCGGCTGGGCGGAGGGCGCGGCGGGCCCCTGTATTTTTAGCCCGATGCGGCGCAACCCGCTGGCGCGGCCCGCGCGGCCCGGCAGATAGCGCGGCGGGGAGCGCGCCCGGCTCGGGTTTCGGCGCGGGCGCCGGGCGATGGCAGCGCGACAGGGCAGGTCCGGGCCAGACCTCGCGGTGAGTGGACGGCGGGCCGGGCGCGGGCGGGCGCGGGGCCGGGGAGGGGCGCGGGGCCGACCGCGGGCTGCGCACCCGCGCCGCGCCGACCAGCTGGCACCACAGAGCTTTCGGCGGCGGGGTGCGGGTCCCGCCCCGCGCCGGGCGCCCAGGCTCTGGCAGGACCCAGAGGAAAATTCCGCCGGCCCGAGCTGGAGGCTGCGGGGGGGTGGTGCCGGGAGACGGCCCGACCTGTGGCCACCTCCGACCTCCTGCGGATCCCCGAGCTGCCGGAGGGTAGCGGGCTGGCACGGACCCCCGCCGCGGGCCGCGCCGCCCGCGACGCGCCTGACCCCAAGCCCTAGACAGCGAGTGGCCCGGGGGGTGGGGGTGGGTCCCTGGGTCGTGGGAAATGAATGGGGGCAGAGGAAGGCAGACCTGGCGCGTGCCCTGCGCAGCGCGCGTCAGGCACGCACCGACCGCCGGGCGCGAGCGGGCTGGCCCGCCGGTTCAGCGAGGGCGAATCGGGCTCGTGCGAGATCGAGGTCTGCACCGTAGGCGAGGCAGCGTCAAGTGGCGGAGCAGGGCTCCCAGCCGGGCCTCCCCAGTCAGGCCGCACAGGGAGGAGGAGGGGTGGCCTGGTTGGGAGACCAGAAGGGTCCCAGCACTCTGCCCACGCGCCGTGTTTCCTCAAGGACACTTCGGACTGCTCATTTGTCTTTGCCCCTGGCTGTCTGATTTGGGGTGCCTGGAGAGAGTTTGTACAGCTGCAACTTCCTGGAAGGAAAAAGGGAAGAGACCCACCCTCACTGCGGCCCAGGGTTCACCCCCATTTCTCCTAATCCCAGGGACAAAGCAGGGCCACGGTCCGCCCACGGGAGCCGAGTGTCTCCTCTGGGAGGCCCGAGGGCCTCGGGAACGAATGGCCCAGGTGCGGCTCTCCGCTGCCCCGTGTACCAGCGGACAGCCTGTCTTCCGGTCTTCTGGCTGTGCGTGGGCCTCCAGGAATGGATCTAGACCCCCTGCTGGGGGTTCTGACTGCGGCTTTGTTAAAGAAGCTCATTTGACCACGCTAGACCCCCAGGAAAGAGATACCCATCACCGCTGTTTGCAGAAGTTTGGTATTAGCTCGATTTCTCGTCATCCTTTTAGGTAGGAATTTTGCACTAAGGGCCTTGAGAAAATAAGTCAAGATCTGCCCCGAGGAGAACTTAGGCCACCCCAAGCCCCAGAGAAGGTATGAAGAGGTCCCCGGAACCCCTTCCCCGCTGAGACGGAGCTTTGCCTGGCCACGGGCCTTTCTCTGCTGCTCCTGTGCCGCCAGCCTCTCCCTCCCAGGACACTGGGGCCCCCGGGCTGCTCGTCCACTGCTATATTAGTCTCACCCCACTCAGGAAGTGCAAGTTTAATAATAGTCTGGGTGTCTCAGGTAGCCAGGGCTCACCTCCCTTCCGGAGCAGCCGCGAGGAGAGCCCGAGTCCGAGGAGGACGGCGGTTCCCTGCCCTCCTCCTCTGTCTCCTGGCCTCGCAGGCAGCCTGGCTCTGGGCTTGGGAGGGACCTGAGGAGCACTAGAGAATGGTGGGCCCCTGAGCCAGTGTGGCACAGAGGCTAAGAGAAAGACCCTGGAGGGGACACCCCCTGGAGTCAAACCCTGGCCACCCCACAAAGGAACTGTGTGACTTTGACTTTGGACAAGTTACTGGACCTCCCTCTGCCTCAGTCACCTTATCTGTAGAAAGGAGGTAATAAAAGATAATACCTGTCTGGAGGGATTATTGGGAAGAACAAATGAATTGATTTATGTGGCTTCATTAAAACATAGGAAGGGCTTTACGAAAGTAAACTTGCTTTGAAAGGAAGTTCGGGGACCTCGCACGGGTTAGCCAGCAGGGATGTGGGCCAGGGGCACAACCAAAGGCTGCACTGGCCCTTCCCCACACACACCTGGTGACATTAGATTATAACAAGCTCCAGACGGGGCAGGGGCAGAGACACGAGGGCAGCCTTCCGGAGGGGTGTTGCTCAGAAGTGCCAGCTCCTGGCGGCAGTCCAGGTGCAGGGACACTGTGGGCTGGCTTTCTGGCTGCAGGGGCGGGGCAGCCGCCTGCCTCCCCCAGCTGCTCTCACCTAACGGCCTCTTTGAGGCTGCCGGGCAGGGGATGGGTGGCACGTGCAGAGGGCCAGGCCCTCCGTTCTGATTTGTCATAGCCAAGAGACAGGTTCGTAATTTGTTGTTGTTGTTCTGGTTAGTTTTTACCAGGTAAATATTTTTAATGGAACATGCTGGATTCTTTTGACTCTCCTTCTGCCCTACTGGAGGACACAGACTGTTCCTGGATGTGCCTAGGACAGGCCATTGCGGTGGAGCAGGTGGAATAGATAGACGGGCGTAGGGCTGTCCCAGCGAGGACCATTTTCTCTGGGCCCTCAATATGACCCAGCCCCTAGGAGGCTCTCGGGGAAATACCTGTGGAACGGACCCGTGGATGCACAGATGCATGCACGACCCCTTTGTAACTCAGTCACTCTGTTGTTCAAACCGAGAAGGCCGGCAGCCGTGTGCTGATCTTCCGTTTTCTCTCTCTTTTCCCTTGCAGGATCCTGGGCTTGAACTAGGACCTCAGTAAACACAGTGTGGGGTTAGGATGAGAGATGGGCGGTGGCAGTGGGAGTGGCATTCTTACCTGTTCACCTCTAAGCTGTCCTGAGGACCCTGCTTCTGTCCTTACCTCTCGATCCCTTTATACCTACGGAAGGCCAAAGAGAAAAACGAACAAGGCTTAGCAACTGAACTTCACCTCTGACCACCCATGTGGCCTTAGCCAGTCACTTTACTTCCGTGGGCCTCAGTGTGACCGTCAGGGAGGTAGGGACGAGATGGTTTCTCTCTAGAGACCTGTCTTGGCCCGGGCAGAGAGCTCAGGAGCAGAGCCAGGAGCCACCCAGGACTTTTTCTCTGCCGTGGATTAACTGCTTACCTGGCAAAGGTGCGCAGCCCCGCCCAGCTGCTCCAGTCTGCCGGGGATGTCTGGACAGCCTCAGGTTTGAGTTGCTGAGAACCCGCCTGGGGAAAGGCATGGGCTCCAGTCAGGTGCACACCACCTCCCTGCAGACCTCTCCCACCTGACTCACTGCCTCTGAAAGGGGGTCGTGATTTTCCCTACCTGGCAGGCTGTGGTAAAGACCGGAAGACACAATGGTGGGGATGCAATTGGCACAATGACTAGTACTGTCATTTTATTTTGCATTATGGAAACCATTTAGCCTTCTTCCACCGTCTAGTCTAGATTGGGCTTCTCTAATCCTCCGCGTATCTGTCATAAGCATTATGCTTTGCGTCCTAGACGCTGTGCTTTAAACAGCCGCACAGTGCCATTGGTCGATGTGGCATCTATTTTTATCCACCCATCCTCAGGTTTTCATCCCGAATCCTGTTATTATGCTGCAAACGGTAGTTAATTGGTGGGGGAAATGTCTCTTTAACACTCTCATTCTTGGGGAATAATACAGTGTGTTTCCTACTAGTAGAATCCAGACAGACTTTCTGAATCAGCAGCCCGCGTAGACGTTTATCTGAGAGATGAGACCTTGAGTCTGATTTCTCTGGGAGTCGAGATCATGCTCTTTTCCGAAATGTCTCCTCCATCATGGAAGCTTTGCTGAGGGGCCCAGGACAGAGGTGCCACGTGCTTCGGGTCACAGGAGGTCTTGGCCTAGCAGACACTTAATGCTTAGAAGGATTCGAAAGAGATAGAAGACTCACTCGGTCCCTGCCCCAAGAAGCAACCAGTTTGGCTGGGGAGACAAGACTTGCATAAATTAAGTAACTAGAGAACGATGTGTTTAAAATACATGTTGAAAATCAAGCTCCTGTTCCATGGGTCCTGGATTTAAAGGTAGTAAATCCCGGGTACCCGAGGACAGCACCTTGCGGAAGGTAGCTGAGGTTGGCAGACCAGGGTGAGTTAGAGCTTCAGCAGGGCCCAGGGAGTGAGCAGGGTGCAGACCAGAGGTAGGCAGAGCCGGGGGGTGCCACAGGCCATGGGAGGTGGGAAGAAGGGGCCTCCTGCCACGTTGGGGGCTGTGAGACGGGCGTGCATCTGTCGTGAGTGGGCAGCCGCAGGGCTGGGACTTGAACTTGTGCAATAGGGGGCCCGCGTTGGGCCTGGAGTCGAGAGGGCGCAGGAAATCAGGAGCTGGGGGTAGGGCCGGGGGTGCAGCTGGGAGGCAGAGCAGACTGCAGGCCTGAGGTGGAGAGCAGGGAGGGTGGGTGAGCTTCTGAGCGTGAGGGGAAGGCCCTCGGGTCTGCAAGGCTGGAGACACCTGCCACGGAGCCGCCGCGGAGCTGGCAGAGACGTGTGGCGCCGCTTTGGGAAGGAGGATCAGCGTTTCACTGAGTGCTCCATGTTTAGGGGTGACGATCCTTAGCACGAGTATCCGTGTCCAGTGGCTGCTGTGACAAATGAACACGGACTTGGTGGCCTAAAACCACAAAAACGTGCTCTCTCCCAGTGTGGGGCCAGAAGTCTGCAGTGGGGGTGTTGGCGGGGCGCGCTCCCCCACGGCGCAGGCCGGGGCGGGTCGGCCCTCTGCCTGCTGGCCACCGCTGCCCTGGCTTGTGGTGGCCTCACTCTGGCTCTGCCTGCGTCTGCGCAGGTGTGTGCGTGTGCCCGCCTTGTCCCCGTCTCCTCCTCTTCCTTCTCTGTGTTTTCTAAGGAGGCTTGTCGTCGAATTCAGGGCCAACCTGGGTGACCTAGGATGGTCTCGAGATCCGTAGCTTAGTTATGCCTGCAAAGACCCTGTTTCTAAAACAGGTCACACTCACAGGCCCCAGGGACTAGGGTGTGCACGTGTCTCTTGGGGGCACCATCCGGCTCACCGCAGCCTGTTTTCTGAGGAGGGCACGTAGAGGAAAGAGGCGGTGCCAGGTGGAGAGGAGGCCGCCAGGTGTGGTCCCTGGAGGAATGGCCTCGCACGCTGGCACAGGTGGCTTCCACAGGTGACCAGTGTCGTTCAAACTCAGCCTGTGCTTGCTACGTGCCAGGCACTGCACTCACGTTTCATGTACACTGTTATTTTCTTTAAATGTCTCCACAACGGTATGAGGAAGGCATTTCCCCCACCCCAGCTTGCAGATAAGGATGGGGTGCTTGGGGCGCTCGGCTTACCCAGGGTAGCACCCCTGCGCCGGGCTGGCTGGCCCATGCTGCGCTGTCTCCACCGCGTGCAACTGCACCGGTAGGCTCTGTTCTGTTGTCCCCAGTCCTCGCCGCCTCTGGCTGCCATTCATCTCTAATGCAAACGGGCATTCCAGGTCGCAGAGTCTTGATATGCGTGGGGCAGGTGGTGGAGCAGCGGGACCGCACCACTTCACTGTCATCTGGGGATTCTGACGGGGCTCCTGGGTGTTGGAGCAGGGATCGAGCGGGCTGCAGAGCTGGAAAGCAAAGTTCCTGGACGTGAGAGCCGCACGGCCTGCGTCTCAGCCCTGGCCGTGCCTCCTGCCTGCCGCGTGACCCTGCACCAGTCACTTCACTCCCCGGCTCCCTCATCTGTAAGACGGGACCAGTCACACTTGCCTCTCAGGTTTCCGCCATGAGAATGAAGTGCACGCCTGTGCGTGTGCGTGTGTGTGAATGCGTATCGCGGCTGTCCCACCGATCCACAGGGGATGGGTTCTGGGAACAAACCCCCACGGGTGCTCGAGTGCCTGCTATGACATGGTGCGTGTCTGCACGCAACCCACACGCTAACCTGCGCACCTCACGTCATCCCCGGGTACCTCGTGACACCCGAGACGGTGTCGCTGCTGTGTAAATAGTTGTACTGTGTTGCTTTTTCGTCCGCATTATTTTTCACTGTTGCGTTGTTATTTTTTAATTATTTCTTTCCGGAATATTCTGGATTTGCGGGTGGTTGACACCACCCGTTTGTGTGTGTGAAGCGCTGGTAACGGTTCATGGCACGTAGTAGGTGCCACGTGCTGTTTACTTTTAAAAACCCACAGAACAGCACCAAAGAGCACACGCTTGGCTCCTCTGGTGCCCGCGTGTCCGGCTCAGGCGGCCCGGGCACGTCCAAGCAGCCGCACGCCAGGCCGTGCGGGGGGGTCCTGGGGTGGGAGCCCGCTGCAGGCCGATCCCTGCTGGGTCCTCAGCAAGAGTGTTGCCCATAAAAACGGCAGGAGGAAGGGAGGCCTGGGCTCGGAGGCAGCCTGGCAGTCTGGGCCCCAGGGCAGGCCAGCCAGGGCACCGTCGCGGGGCGTGGGTGGGACAGGGAGGCCGATAGCACGCAGAGGACACTCACAGCTGCCCTCTCTCCTCACAGGCCGACGCTGCTACCAGCTTTCTGAGGGCAGCACGATCAGGTAACTTGGACAAAGCTTTGGATCACCTGCGGAACGGGGTAGATATCAACACCTGCAACCAGGTAAGCGAGATGGCAGGCCTGTCCTCTCTGCGGTGCAGCTCCTGCCCGGTGCCGCTCGCTCAGAGCTTTGAAACTGCCTCTATTAACCTCTTCCCAGCGGCCTCAAAAATCCCCAAGGGCTCCCGCCAGAGGCAGGCCCTAACCTCCACGTCTCATCGTGGCTGCCGGCCGGTCCCCCGCAGCCTCCTCTCAGAAGTGGCGGCTGGCCCCTGCTGCTGTCGCAGAACACGTGGCCTTTGGATGCGGGCAGGAGGAAGGGCCTTTGAAGGGAGTTGTGTCAGTGGGGACAGCGAATCCGCTTTCCACCAGGCCCTTTGCGGGTCCTCAGCCGGGCTGGGAGGAAACCAGGCCTCGCTGGGCTCGGTGCCCACGAGGGCAGGTCTGCGGGCGCGGCGGGCGGGATGCCACGGGCGGGATGCCTCGGGCCGGCCCGGGCCACTCCTCACCCTGAAGCAGGGCTCCGTGTCCACAGGGGGCTGGTGAGGACACACGATGCGTCTGGGACGGACTGGAGGGCAGAGTGGGGTTTGGGGCCAGAGACCTAGGAACTAACTGACAGAGAGGGGGCTGCCCTCCAGGAAGAGGGCAGGTGTGTGCGAGGCTTGGGCTGCGGATTGGTGACTTGCTGTTTTGGTTTGCTGCTATTTGCCTGCTAATAGAATTGTTTAGGCATACATGCTAATTTAGTTTCTGATTTAGAATAAATTTACCAATGGTGACTTTTTTTTTTTTACCATCTTAAAATTTGTTTTTAACTGTGACGAAACACACAACACAGCAGTTACCGTCAACCTTTTTGAAGCACAGAGTTCAGTAGTGTTCAATCCATTCACGTTGTGCAACCACCGCCACTCATCTCCAGCACGCCTTTCTTCCTGCAGAACGGGGACTCTGTCCCCATGAAACCGCCCCCCAGTCCCCCAGGCCCTAGCAGGCACCCTTCTCCTCTCAGTCCCCAAGAATCTGACTCCTCTGGGGACTGACCTCATAGAAGTGGAATCCTGTGATCGTTGTTGTCGTTGTTGTCGTAGTTCTGTGACCAGTCTTTCACTTAGCACAGCGTCCTCAAGGTTCATGCATGTTGTAGTGGATTGAGCGGCTTTCACAAGCCAGCAGGGGCAGATTTCCAGAACCAGCGTAAAGTTTTCCTTGGGCAGCCCCAGCCCCCCTGCCCCTCTGTTCCCTGCCTCTCTTGACCCCGCTTAAAATGCAGGATGCTACTTGCTCTCTCTCCCCCAGGGCGGAGACCCCAGTTGGGTGCAGCTGGTCTTGGGTGGCACAAATTCACAGCTCAGAGATCAGAAAGGACGGAGGAGGGGTGAGGTGTGGCGTGGGACAGAGGAGGTGTAAGGAAGCAGAGGCCCCTGCAGTGAGCGTCACAGTGAGGGTGAGGCGGGCGGCCTGGGTGGAGCGTGCACACTGGACCAGAAGGAGAGGCCCTCCCCTGGAAACGCCAACGCCGTGTAGCCCGGCCGAGGGCGCACAGGGCTTCTCACCAACACTGGAGCTGCAGCTTGCCTTTGGGTAGCAGATTGGGACCCTGAACCCAGCTGCAGCGCGGCGGGGGCAGGGTGAGAGTCCTGGCCTTAGCCTGGCCCTGGAGTGGGGGCTCAGGATGTCTTTATGCCACACCCCCGAAAACAGCTGCACAAGCCGTGGCCACCTTGTCCCAGGCCCCCGTGGGCGAGGGGCTGCTTCCTCTCTGCACTCGGGGGCCTTCCTGGGCACGGAGAGACGCCCGCTGTGAGGCCGGCTTTGTCCGCCCTGCGGCTGGAGAGGGACAGACGGGCTCCCCGCGGCGCCGCCCTCTGTGGGGGCGAGTGGGACCTGCCAGGGTTAAGGTCCCAGCTCTCCAAGGAACCCGTTCCGCTGCAACGGGGACGGCCCAGCGTGCCTAAGGCTCGAGCCACCGTTCATTTTCTGTGTGAAACTGGAAGATTCTGATGACACCCGGGGAATGGCCCCGTCCTGCTTGGTCTCCTGCTGGCGAGGCCTTGGGCGCAACCGCCGGCCCCTCTCTGCCTCCCTCGCAGGGCACCTCCTCGGTTCTGGGGCGCCGAGAGCAGCGGGCGCCGGGACGTTGTTTGTGCTTTGTGGACGCCATTTCAGACCCTGGGCACCAGCGGCTGTGAGCCCTGCTGGAGGCCGGCGGGGCGGGGGGGCACCTGCCTCGGGCGGGACGCAGCGCTGGCGAGGCCAGCCTCTCTCAGAGAGGACAGCGCCGAGTGTCAGCGGGGTTGGACGGAGGGACTTGCCTGCGTGCGGGGCCCTCGCTGCAGGGCTGCTTCGCCTGCGCCCAGGTGTGGGTCCTGTCACCTGTGCCTTGTGGCCTGGCTGAGCAGCGGCAGGTGGCTGCACGGAAGGGAGCCTGTCCGTGCTGCCGAGGCCGAGGCTGGCTGTGCGGGGCGGTCGGCTCTTGCTCACGAGGGGAAGGTGTTGGCAGCGGAGACGGAGCTGCCCCGGCCGAGCTTGCACCTGCATTGAACACATCGGTGCGCCCTTAGGGACGAGGCTAGCCTCCTAATGGTGCTTTAACGCACGCTTCCCTTGTTTTGAGAAGATAAAAGCAGGCTCTTGTCCTGGGGTCACAGCTCCAGCCGATGGGCCGGGCTGGCGGCAGAAGAGCAAATGCTCACCCTTACGTAAGAACCGCACTCTCAAACAGTGTGCTCTGTGGCAAGAATGTGCACTGCTTGCTGTGATAGGAAGTCACTAAGTAGCGTGAAAAGAGGAACTCTCGGCTTATGTAAGAGACATCTGAATATTCAGGGCAGCTTCCTTGTTGCATAGATTGTGTCTACTAGTTGTTACCGTCTCCGTGGTTTTCGTAGCTATAGGAAAGAAGAAATTCATATCTAAGAGCACACGTGCACACACACCAGCATCTTTATATGAATGCCTGATTTTTTCTTTCTCTTTTAGAGAGAGAGTCTCGCTCTGTCGCCCAGGCTGTAGTGCAGTGGCGTCATCATAGCTCACTGCAGCCTTGAACTCCTGGGCTCGAGCGATCCTCTTGCCTCAGCCTCCCGAGTGGCTGGGACTACAGGTGCGCACCGCCACCCTGGTGTGGTGGGCTCAGCATGCACTATGCAGATTTTTGGTAGAGACAGGGTCTTCCTTTGCTCTTGCTCAGGCTGGCCTCGCACTTCTGACCTCAAGCAGTCCTCCCGCCTTGACCTCCCGGAGTGCTGGGATGACAGGCGTGAGCCACCGTGCCTTGCTGGCAATGGCTATCGACCAAGAGGAACAGGGGTGTTTTGACAGTTAACCACCTGTGCAGCTATGCTGTTGTGTCCTGGTCGACTGTCTCCCCCGCTTGTAGAAGCCACATTAGAATTCTGATCTTCGCCCTGAAAGGGGAGGAAAGAACCCCCTGCCTCAAGCACAGGGGTGCCGTGGTGGGGGACTGCTGCAAAAGCTCACGCTGGCCTCTGTGTGGAGAGCAGGTGGGGGCCAGAGGTGGCTCGGGGCAGCCAGTTACGAGACTATTGCCGTGGTCCCAGGGGGCAGCGCCTGCAGCTGGGATAAGGTCGTGGCCGTGGAGACGGAGCGGAGCCCGCAGGCCTGGATGCTGGGCTGGTGGGGAGGGTGGGGAAGGAGACCTTGGGCTCCCGCAGCAGGTGGGAGGCTGGAGCGGCCTCAGTGTGTGCAGACACTGGGGGTGAAGAGTCCAGCGCAGAGCAGTGTGGGAATCCAAGTGGAGATATGTAGTAAGCAATTGGATATTCGAGCCTGGAACTCAGATAAGAGGTGCGGCCCGAGGATAGATATTTGGAAGTCATTCAGCATTCGAGGAAGTCGAACGCTGGCATCAGCTGCTGAAAACAGGGAGGAGAGGCGTGTTGACTGTAGTCCCACATGTCCATGGGGGTCGTCCTGTGTGTGTTTATTAAATGCCGCCTTTGGGCCAGGTGCTATCCTGGGCGCTGAACAATACAGACAAAATAGTCTGCGCCCTGTGGCATTTATACGCTGGTAGGGGAGACAGACGGTAACGAAGATGAACAAATGTGTGAAGCTAGCTGATGAGAAACACCATGGAGGGGAAGGGTAAAGGGCCCTACTTGAGACGGGGTCTCGGGGAAGGCCTCTCTAAGGAGGAGAAGATTTTTGAGAGGCCCGACAGAAGTATGGGGAGACCATGCGGCTTCTGGGGAACAGCATTCCTGGAAGGGAGAAACATGTGCAAAGGCCCTGGGGCAGGCGTGGGCTGTGTTTGTTGGGGACTAGCGTGGCTGGAGTGGAGTGACCGGAGGGAAGGACACAGGCAGCAGAGGGAGAGATGGACAGGACAAGGTTGTGGAGGGCTGGCGGGCTGTGGCCAGGGCTGAGTTTTGCTCCAGGGGTGACAAAGGGAGCCACTGGAAGGTGTCACCTAGGAGACACTCACTTTGATTTTTAGGTCCCTGAGCACTTGCCCTGCCCGCTGTGTGGAGAGTAGCCATGGGGACAGGGACAAATGGCAGGGACCAGCGAGAGTCCTACGGTGACCTTGGATAAGGGTGTGGCGGGGAGGTGGGGGAGCCGGAGGACTCATCTCCCTAGGCTTGGGGTGCAGCCACCCTAGTGTGGCAGTCTCGGCGTGTGGCGCAGGGCCTCCCGTGCAGCCTGGGACCTGGCCATCCTGGCCACTGCATTGACCACGAATCGGGGGCCAGTTGGTTCAAGTCTCAGCTCAAAAGCCCCCGTGAAGACGCCCTGATGCCGTAGCTGGGAGCAGCCCCTGCCTCTCCGGTGTATCTGTAGCTCCCTCACAGCTCAGTCGGGGCCTGCAGCGTAGCACGGCGACGTGGAGCACGTCTTCCTGTCCTGGAGGCTCTGGCTGTCCCCTGCTCCCCTGCGGCACCTGGCGTGGAACGGGGCAGGTAGCAGGTGCTCTAGGATTTGTTTAAATAAGTGGCTTCATAACTGCACACACAGTAGTAGCTTCATGTGTTCAATTTCCAGAGTTCCTGCTAGAGTATTTACAGCAAATCAAAATACTTTATTATGGAGACTGTAGCAATAAAGCAAAGTGCTTTCTGGGATGAGGCACTGACTCTGCACATTTACCAGTGAACCAAATCAGATGAAAATGAGAAGAGAGCAGCCCCAAGCCCTCCATTCCTCGATCCCTGGAATTGTCAGGCTGGCGAGGGTCTTCCACTGCGACCACTAGCTGTGTAACTCCGGGGGCAGAAAGCTTCCCTAGTTTTCTGTTCTGTTCTTATAACTCGGACAAATGCTGGCTCACTTGGCCTGCCTGATGGGAGAGAAAGGGCTCGAGACCCCAGGAGGAAAGTTCCCACCAAAAAGAGAGAAGCCTGTCGCCTGCAGCCCCGGCAGAAGGCAAAGGGTTAAAGAGAGGCCTTCCTGGAGCACCCAGTTACCCGGCCCTCCACCCGGCTTACTTTGCTCCTCTGCAGTACTTGCTCTTTAACGCTGCCTGCTTTTGTGTGCATTTGTGTGTCTGCTCCACTAAAAAGTAGGGCCCCTCCGGGGAGAGGGCTCGGTGTCATGCAGCGCTCTGTGCCAGGCCCTGCAGGGTGGCGAGCAGGGCCCCTAAACCAGTTTGCGGACTGAGGAACAAGTGCAGCGACCCGCAGGCCGCCGTGGCCACGCGTGGGAAAGCCCGTGTGTCTTGCACTTAGTTCCTGCAGCACCGTCTCGAAACAGCACGTACTAGGGCAGTGACGCCCCTGCAGTAACCGTGGCCCCGACGCTGGCGTTAGCCCCACGAGCCGAGTACGCTGCAGTACCCGCTGCGGCAGCCAGAGCT